TTATATCACCCAAAGGCTCATATTGTCCATTGACACTTGGCAAGATAAGCCTTTCACTGCAAAGGCTTACATTTCAACACTCTCGGCTCTCTAGGTACAAGGCACATCACCTCCCCCACATGCACCGGATGACCCCCTGGCGACCTATCGACGCAAGGATGGAACATCTTTCTTTGCTGTACACCCACTCCAATCAGGTACTGAGGCAAAGGTTCGAGACTGGGTCAAACGATACGTTCCAAAAGATCGACAAGACCAATTGTCCAAAAGGATCGATAGCCTTCAGAATGTCCTGAAACAATTTGATCAAGCCCATGCACCTAACCTTGAACCAATTTTGAGTGATTGGGGTCTATCAGCGGCCATTTTGGCCAAATGTAATGTAGATGCTCAGATTCGCCTGTTGGCAGCTATTCAATTGCTGCGTAACTGACAGTTTGACTTTACTACACATCAAGCAAGCCCACCAGGAGCAGGTGGCATAATTCAACATTCCACACCGCATTTCTCTCAGAGATGTCGGCGTAAGTTCGCACATTTTCGACAAATTGCTCAATCCTATATTTTGCTCCTTGCTAGTCTTTTGCAGTATTCCACGCAGTTGCCTTGGCAGATTCAACGAACGTTGTTGTGGTCTCTCAGCCATTGGACTGTGTTTGGAATATATTTGAATTCATGGACACAGAAACGCAAACGCCTTATGACGATCCTTCAGCATGCACAGTTACCGTACAGACTTACATGGACCTGGTGGACACAGACATCCATTGTTTACATGCGTTTGGATTTGCTCACTGCCGATTATTACATAGCTGCCACAGAACATTCCGTTTTTGATCGAGAACAGAGTCAAGTCCGAAAATACTGTCAACTTTGCAATCAACAATTGGCGTACTTTGAACCTGCTTTGAAACTTTGGTTCCACCTGAATAATTTCTATCAATTTGCTTGTTTTCCACTGCAGCACACCAGCACTGACAATTTGAATGCCCTTGAAACTGGTTTTCAAACCACGTACCGACCTCAGTACAATTGGCCGTGGATCAACTCGTTACTGATGAAATTCCACATCGGAAAGCAGAGATTTGGACCAGTGTTCACCAAGCCGTTCCTGGATCGCAGTCGGAAGTTTAGTCGAAGATATCAGAAACGAACACCTACAGAACAAATGTGCCTCCTGGGATGCAGACTCTACACATCCGAAGCCATCTACAAATTACTGATTCGATTGGGGTCAGATACAATCGAAAAGTTTCATGTGTCGAGACTTTTACGGTCTACACAAACAGATGTTAAATATTTGTTTTTACTTTGCCGGCTGTCTCATCATTTGGGGGAACCATTTCGTACCAGAAGTCAATCCCAACTTCGGTTGATTATTCAATTTAAAGGCACGGGACCACCACCCCCCAATGTCCCTATGCGCCTTCAGATCCTGTCAGATTCTATGGACGAACAAATCAAGCGGTGGTTGTTGGGCTTCACATTTCATCATGCTGTCATTTTTTCCTCCATTTCAAAAAGTACGTGCACCTTATGTCCGTATTCGCAATCGTACATTGGGGCAACTATTTTTCACGTTTCGGTCTACCTTGACATGGTGGACTCCAGACTATGAACCTCAATGCCAGTGTCATTTGTTTCCAGCATTCAGCAACGTCCTCGAAAAACAGGACACATCTCGGCGTTTGCCCATGAATGTTACCCTGAAGAATTTCTCTTTCATGAACACATGGCTGAAGAGGTTACACTTATCAAGGCCAACTG